CCCTTCATTTTTAATCAGCTTTCTGAATCCCTGGAGTGGTTAGTTAAGCACTATCTAAAGATCCCTTCTATCATCCACATTCTGGACGATTTCTTCATCGTTCAACCACCTCCCTCCTCCCACTGCGCGACAGCCCTGTGTAGGATCCTTACCCTCTTCACCGAGTTAAACATCCCCCTTGCCCCTAACAAAACCTTCCGCCCCACCCAAGTTCTGGAGTTTATGGGAATTACCCTTGATTCTGTCCAAATGCAAGCTCGGCTTCCTGAGGATAAGTTAATACGCACCCGCACCCTACTTTACACATGGTCCTCAAAAAGGGCCTGCGTTTTGCGTGACCTCCAGTCCCTCATCGGGTCTTTACAGTTTGCTTGCAAGGTTATCTCACCCGGACGCCCCTTCATGCAACGCATAATCAACCTAACCCACAATGTCTCCAAACCTGGGCAACTCATTTACCTTAACAGAGAGTTCAGGAAAGATGTCGTCATGTGGCAACTTTTTCTTGACCACTGGAATGGGGTCAGTCTGTTTCTCCCCCCCTTCACCGAACAATCCCCTGATATCCATCTTTATACCGATGCCGCAGGTTCTATTGGCTTTGGAGCCTTTTTCGATAATCAGTGGTTTCAAGGCTCATGGCTTCCAGGTCACCACCTTAACCCTGTCACAGGCATTAGCATTACCTGGCAGGAGCTTTACCCTATCTACCTTGCCTGCATGCTCTGGGGCCCCATGTGGGCCAATAGGAGAATTTGTTTTCATTGCGATAACCAAGCAACCGTCTCTATTCTATCCACCAAGACCTCCCGAATTCCCCGCATCATGAACCTCGTCCGTTTAATCACCCTCCAAACCCTCCTCTTCAACTTTACTTTTACCGCCAAACATGTGCCTGGAGTTGACAATGGCATTGCTGACAGCCTGTCTCGATTTCAGATGTCCCGCTTTCGCCGGCTCGCACCACATGCATCGCCAGTTCCATGCCTGATCCCTCTTTTCCTGACCAAGGTTTGACCGTACAGGCCGCCACCTATATCTTCAAGTCCATCGCCACCTCAACCCGTCGGACATATTCCACCGGTGAGCGCCATTTCATTCAGTTCTGCCTTTCCCACAAGCTCATTTCCCCCCAACACCCTTTTCTACCTGCCCACGAGTCCACCCTGATCCATTTTGTTACCCATCTGTCCAACACAGTCTCTTACGGCACAATTAAAGTTTATCTGGCAGCAATCAACAACCTTCACATTGAGTTTGGCTGTCCCCTGGACCTTTCGGCAATGCCAGTCCTTCACAAAACTTTGAGGGGGATCAAACTTTCCCATGGCACCGCAAAGAAGGCTCGCTACCCGATCACCTCTTCGGTTCTCCATAGAATCCATTCTAAGTTGCAACCATTTCAGTCTTCCGATGTTGACACTTCTATGCTATGGGCTGCATTTACCCTTGCATTTTTTGGCTTTTTAAGAAGCAGCGAATTTACCTGCAATGGCAATTTCGACCCTCAGTCCCATCTCGCTAGATCTGACATCTCTTTCCACCCCAACATCCTTCACCCTATTTCATTTGACATCGTAATCAAAAAGTCCAAAACTGACCCTTTCCGGGAGACAGCCAAGCTCACTATCGCAAGGTCATACTCAGACGTATGTGCGGTCACTGCTCTGCAAGACTATATGCTCCAAACTGCAACTCGAGACCCTGGCCAGCCACTATTCAGATTCTCCTGTGGACTCAATCTCACCCGGACTTCACTCACCAACAACTTAAGGACTCTCCTAAACCTCTGCAACATTGACAGTTCCTGTTATGCCTCTCACAGTTTTAGAATTGGTGCCGCTACGACCGCTGGAGCCGCTGGCATTCCTGATTGGCTAATCAAAACTCTGGGTCGCTGGAAATCTAATGCATACCAAGTTTACATCAGGACCCCCAAGGAAACACTATGTAAAGTCCCCCAGTCACTGGCCTCCTGCTCCTCCTGTTAACAAATCCCCCAGGACTCTTTGAGAACACTAGAGTGTCTCATTGACATTTGCATCTAGTAATGTACTATGGTAGTTGCTTGGATAACTTTATCCTAATTTTCGTGTAGTTTTAAACCTATAGTGTTTCCACCTATGGCCCCAGCAATTTTCTTTGCACCCATCCCAATCTCTGTCACGTAGATCTGCGCTATCCCCCCCCCCCCAACCCATTTCTCTCAGGCGTTTCGACGTACCCCCCTTCCATTCCTCTGTTCACCACATGCCATAGGTGGGATCACTATCCTTAGCTTAATGCCATAGTACCCTTAAAACAGACCCAAAACAAACCAAAAAAAAAAAACAAAAACAAAACAAAACAAAACAAAAAAAAAAAAAAAAAAAGAAAAAAAGCCCATTTAGCCTCTGCGGGCTTTCGGCTAGACTACCCTACTAGAGTGTTTTTGTGCGAGGGACTTTATCCCCTCTAGTCTCTATGGAACGCCCATTGGTTTGGGTCCTTTCCGCTCATCTCATGGTTTTGTATAGTTCCAAACGTATAGCGTTTTCACCCGTGGTCACCAAAAACAAAACCAACGAAACAAAACGAAAAAAAAAAAAAAAAAAAAACTCAAAACATCAATAACAGGAACAAGGCCCATTCAACACTTTAGGGCCCTCTGTGACATTCTCGCTTGGGGCTGTCTTCCCCTTTCAAGTTTATGTTGTTCTATGGTTATTTTGACAACAATGTTTTTTGCACGAGGGTCCTATCCCCTCCAGTTGAAGGTTTTGTGCGAGGGTCCTATCCCCTCCAGTCGTTGTACGATGGCCACCGGTTTCTTACAAACAAGGCCCATTCGACCGCTTTCTCTGACATTGTCTTTGGGCCTTCTGCCCTTTTCATGTTCATGTCATACTACGATTAATAAGTATTTTGACAGAAATATTTTGCATGAGGGTCCTATCCCCTCCAGCCAAATGTTTTGTGCTAGGGTCCTACCCCCTCCAGTCTCTGTGCGATGCCCATTGGCTTGCGTTCTTTATGCTCATGTTGTGACCCCTATCTCCACTCGTGGGTTCTCTCCTTTCACCCTTTGGGCAGGCAACGTTCGCTTTTCGCTATTGCAACTCGTAGAGATCGGGTCATTCTTTCTCCCTGTCAAGTGGGAGCAAAACCACTAAATGGGCTTCGCACAGGGCACTCCTCGTCTATCTCGGCGTTTTGGGCGGGGAATTGCTGCCTGCGGCACCCCTTCAGCCCTGTGCTGAAGCCCCGTTAGGGAGGGGGCATATTGTTACTCTGCTGGACTGGGTTAACTTGGCCCCAGGACATTATGCCAGCAACTATGCCCGCCTTGCAATACAGGCATGAGGCACCCCCTCGGCTAGTTGCCGAGGCCCCTCATCTGGTGGTCCATACCGGCAGTGGGTATTATCCGCGCCTTGCCAGTACATTCCCTGCCCCTCGTTTACGCCCAAGTTGTGTGTATTGTCTTTTATTGCGCACCTAAGCATTAAATGATATTTTAGAATAAAATAGATGTTAATGCTGGTAAGCAAATACCGGGGAGATCCTGGAAAGGAGTGACTTCCCATCACGTGACTACCTTATTTGGCTCTCTCATTCTTCCCGCCATACGAGCCCACTCAGCTTGAAATTTTCCAAAGTTCAACTCGTTCAGTTTTTCTCTCAGCATTTTATCCCTCCCTCCCTCCCCGTTCTTTGCTTTCTGGTCCCTGTGTATCTTGCTCACGAGCATACTGTAACCTAGTTAATAGTTCTCTTTAATAAACTATGGGCGGGGAATTGCTGCCTGCGGCACCCCTTCAGCCCTGTGCTGAAGCCCCGTTAGGGAGGGGGCATATTGTTACTCTGCTGGACTGGGTTAACTTGGCCCCAGGACATTATGCCAGCAACTATGCCCGCCTTGCAATACAGGCATGAGGCACCCCCTCGGCTAGTTGCCGAGGCCCCTCATCCGGTGGTCCATACCGGCGGTGGGTATTATCCGCGCCTTGCCAGTACATTCCCTGCCCCTCGTTTACGCCCAAGTTGTGTGTATTGTCTTTTATTGCGCACCTAAGCATTAAGTGATGTGATCACACCAAGTAAAATACACTTGCCCTGTATGATATTAGTATATTGAAAAACAAAATCCAGAAGAACTGAAATTCTGACAAGGACAACTAATTTCATTTCAATTTCAGACAGCGACATGAGTATTGATTAAACCCTGACACGGGAGATTTTAAAATTCAGACAAACGACACGTCCCCCCCCCTCCCCTCCTCCCCTCTGGCAGGGCCTCAGTCCATCTCTAAGTTATTCATTCAGTCGACGAGTCAGTCAGTCTGTGTTGGCATCATAAATTTGTGTTTCTTTGCAATAATTTTAAAAGATTAGTGGGGGAGTTCTTTAAATTGCCTCTTTTGATTTGAAAGTTGATTTTGTGTTGCTGAATCCTTCAAGGATCGCTTAAAGGCACATTTAAAGGGATTCAATGTTTGACCAGCATTCATTCAACAAATTTGAATGGACATTGGTCAAAGGTTGAAAGCAATGGGGATGCCATTCAAACAGGTCCAATAGTCCCACTACTTTGCCTGCAAGAATCTAGAAACAAGAATCCAGACTGTCTGGTTTGGTTTTACATTACACAGCCCCTGTTGTGAGCTTTCCTGTGTTTACAATAATAATATTATTGCATGACATGGCCAACATACCCTCCCAAAGTTTGGTTCATCAAAGGTATGTTTGCCTGGTTTACTGAATATATGGGAAAAGCAGATCTTAACAAGTGCTATTGAAATCCATCCATCCATTATCTCTGAAAAATGTGTGGTTACCCCCAATTTTCTTTTTGGATACCAAGATCACTTCCTAAGTTCTGCTTTCTCCTCATAGTTTTAAACCATGCAAAATTTCCCTGTATTGATAAGCACCAGCCATAAGAAATCCAAGTATCTCAAGATGCGCAGAAAGTATGCGCAATAACAATAGTAGGCACAGTCCTTAAAACATTGAAGGAAGCTTTGAAAAAAACAGCAAATACACAAGGAAGCAAGTTAAGAGTTGCATAGCAAGTAGGGACGAGTAGCATTATTGGTAAAACTACACAAAATCACTCCTGTGACACAGCCCGTCTAAAAGGACCTTAAAATGTTACAAGTCTTGAGTGGTCAAAATGGTTTTCAGGTATTCCCCTCTTCATGTCTCTCAATGCCATCCCCAGGAGATTTAAAATTAAACCTACATATCAATAGGAAAGGGAACTGGATGAAGGTAGCAACAAGTGTGGTGGAGTTGAATTGATATACTCAGTACAACTGAAAACAAAATAATAATAATTGAGGTTTAAACCAGGGTCATTCACATACAAGCATCGACTGGTTTTCTGAAATCCTTGAACTAACCCGGTACATTGTATAGAGTATTTTCCTCTAAAAAGACCTTAATACTAGCATTTGCAATGGCAGCGATGATGGGTGCGCCATGGATATACGTCACTGCAGTTTCATTCCACCTTGCCTCAATAGAACAGGAAGTTTTCAAACTAAATGCATTTTCAAAGTTTCCATTTCCACCAGTGAGCATCTTAAAACCTCTGTTTTAAATAAATATAAAAAAACTACCTGGTCTTGATAATACTTGATAGAAGTCAGTTTTCATCATTTCTCCATGATATTGGTTTTTCAGCACCTCTTCATTTGTGATAAATTCCCTCAAATATTCCTCTGCTTTTTTTCTTGTCTCTGAATTGTTGGGTAAGGAATGCAGAAAGTGAGGCTATATTACTACAACAAAATAACATTCATAGAATTCTAATCATGAGAGTATGTATGTGTACATAATATGCAAAATATGGGATTACTGCCATCAGGATATTTGTATTTCATTTTAGTTATAATACGTACCGGGGTAAAGTAGATTTAAATTCTACTTTCAGCAACGGCTCTTGCAACTTGTCTCGCAACGATTTTGGCCGTTGCAGGGTATTTTATACACTGTGAAATGTTTTGTGCAAATCGTCCTGCCACAATGTTGCCAAAACATTGCCAGACAAGTTGCACGAAACATTTCATAGTGTAACAGCGTCTTTATATTTAGTCAGACAGAGGGTCAACAAAATTTTCAAAAGATCCAGAAGCCTAACTAAAGTGAGGCTACATGGCTTCTCATGATTAATAAGTTAAAGTTAAAAATTAGTTTACATTACCAGGTGAAATGTGAGTCGTTGCCACATTGTAGAGGACAGACAATGCTTGAAAACAAAACTTTGGGTCTTTGGCACCACCTCCACCAATGTAGGCATCAATAACACGCCTTAAAAGAGTCAGGGCTGAAAGTTTCCTCCCCTCTTTGTGTACCTGTCGACAATATTTGATGATGAGCTCAAAGGGGCTATACAGCTGTAGCACACCACTTTGTTTTCTTTGTGGAGAGCACCCTTGACTTTTTTCGGGAGATCACAGGTTTGATTCTTAGCTGGACTTAAACTCAAGGTCTTAAAACTACAGAGACTGAAAAAATGCGGTCTTTTTAATTACATCCGTAAATGATTAGACTTATTAAGGACGGTGCCTACTGGTACTATTGTTATTGCGCATACGTTCTGCACATCTCCAGATACTCGGCTTTCCTATCGGTAGTGCTTACTAATGCAAGGATGTTTTCGCGCGGTTTGAATTTATCCGGAGAAAGTAGAACTTAGAAAGTGCTCTTGGTATCCAAGAAGAAAATTGGGGGTAACCATGCATTTTTCAGAGATAATGAAGCTTTAATTTGGAAAGGAACGCCATACATTGCTTTGTATTTAAAAGCTTTTTGCTCATATTGTGGATTAATTATCTTTGAAAAATGCGTGGTTATCCCCAATTTTCTTTTTGGATTTTGATAACAATAACCGCACAAACATACCTTTGCATTAGTAGGCACCATCCTTAAGTTATCTTGGGTAAGGACAATAATTATTGGCCTTAGGCCAAGTCATACCCTTGTTCGATCTATTAAAGGGGAACTGAAGGCAAAAAAATAAGCATTTTTCACTTTAGACAATGCACAAAGTTTTCAACTTTTTTTATGGCATATCCAATTTTGGGCCATCAGTATTGCCGCTCAGAATGGACGAGTAAGCTGTCATTTTTGCAGCTTATGACGCATGATATGGCGAAGACATATGAGAGCGCCCCAGATAGGTGCAGTGTTTTTGACTGACGTTTGTTGTGAATATTGAGTCTGCAAAGAAGCAACAAAACAACGAAGAAAATATCCACAACAGGAATGTTTCTCTTGATTACAAAAACTCTCTTCCCCTTATCATATGTCACAGCAGCGTGCTGATTTAGTTTTTGAGCCCACACTGAAAAGGCAGAAAGAGCAGGAAAAGCCCAACTTCAAACGTAATTTTCTCGCAAAAACAGAAAACAAGAAGAAATAACCCCATACAGTTAACTTTACTTATGTTTGGCTTTCCAAAAACAATGTTGCAAAAATTGCTGATTTTGGCCTTCAGTTCAGCTTTAAAGAAGTTGTCTGGGATCTCCAAGAATGCACACACTATGGGAGACATCACTGTTTAGAAACAATTCTTTTGTTATTTAAATTTTGCCAACCACAAAACAAAAGAATCTTTTGCTTAAACAGCCAATAATTATTGATCTCTGGTTGGCACATTAAGGTGACATAACAATGAGTATCGCTATTCGCAAGGACTTCCTGGTAATGTGCTGAAGATAATAAGCCAATATCAAAAATACCGTTATGCTCTTTGTTTGTCCCTCCAAACATTTGCACCAGTATTGTTTCGAGTTTCTCTTGGGGCCATTGTATTAGTCCCAAGAGAAAATAAAAACAAAGCTTATGTAAAATTTTGGAGGGACAAACAAAGAATATTATGGTATTTTTGATATTGACTAATATATATACGAGAGATACTTTGACAATCTTGATAGGAGCTTTTTATACCTGTAAAAGAGCTTGGCAATCCAACAAATTGCCATTTATTCCCTGGATAATAATCATTTGTTTTGTTTTAAACTACTGTCAAAGAGTGTCACATTAGCCCACTCCCTCTTCTTTTATTCATCAAAAAGTCTTGAGTAACTGAAAGGCACTGTTTGCTGAATGCTTATAATATCCATGAAATACTGGAAGACTTCTCTGAACTTGAATAAGGGACTGTGCAATAATTACCTGGTTTGGGGGAAACTGGGAAATGGGTGAAATACATGTATACCCCAAAACTAAGTCATACCCCCCTCTCATTAAGCAAAAATTAATTTCAACCCCTCCCCCCCCCTTCACATAATGAAAATATTAAGGGTAACCCCCCCCACCTGAAAAATGTTTCCTCCCATTGATTCCCTCATAGTTGGCCCTCAAGTTGGCTGTAACCAGTCTCATTAATCTAACAAGCGCGAATAGAATAATAATTGTTTTATTAAATTCCTCACACTCCAAAAGTTTGGAAGTACGAAATAGCAGTGAAAAATCGAAAAAAACCGAAAAAAACTTGATGAAGATGCGATGTTGTGTAATACCTGGTTGTCACACAGACGCAGACTCATCACAAAAACAGTTCTTACCTTTTTGCGCACTTCTAAACATCAGAATTGATCAAAACTTTCCACAAAAAAAGGGGCTTTTTTGTTTTATTCAGCGAGAAATTTTGCTTTCTGACAAAACAAATTTTTAGCTTAGCAATGCTCAGCACAATCATTTGTCAAACTAAGGTGTATGAGCTGATAACCTAGATCAAGTAACCCAAGCAGAGTACGAGAAATGCATTAACCAAGGTTGTGTGACAACTGCAGTCTTGGTCGCAAATGTTGTAACACAGATGGCAATTTGCCCCCTCTTCCCCATCAATGTTGATGTTTATGGGTTTGAGTGCAAAAACCAACCAGCAAAGGCAACACTGAAGGGATGAAGGAGGAGGGGTACGGTATTAATGACTTGGATGTGCTTCACTTGCTGTCCTAGCGAAGTGCTACAACTATTTATAACCGAAGTTGTAGGTAATAACACAACATTGCATCTTCGTGAAGTTCTTCGAACTTCCAAACTTTTGGAGTTTAAGGAATTTAATGAAACAATTATTCTATTCACGCTTGTTCGATATGAGACTGGTTATAGCCAACTTGACGCTACGCGCCTTCTTGGCTATTTACCACCTCATATGATCTCACATCCAACGCGCGCTCGTGGAATAATTGTAAAAGCTTAGATAAAGTTCACCTAACCTGAAATGTTTTTCGTCGTTAATACTGACAACCTTTCCATGGATATCAAACACATTTTGCTGTATGCCCCTGGATATAACACGTTTAATTTTATGTGCAAGTCACCTAAAGCTGTCGTACTCATTCATTTGTAACACTCCCTCAGGCCGGCTTCCCGCCATACAGCCAGAAACAAGGTTAAGATTCCCGGCATTTAAATGATCCAACTTTCCTGTCCCTTACAGCACTGGACATTCTTGGTTTTCACTCACATGATCAGTAACCTTGTTTTTCCACCGAAACAAAAGAAACCGTTTGCATGATAATACTTGTAGCTATAGCTCAATTCCCGGAGGATTTAATTGTTGGGTACACCAACATGGCCGCCGTGACGTCACGTGAAAACATGTTTAGGCGCCATCTTGGATTTTTGACGACTGGGTGAGGGGGTAGGTACGTCATGTGTGAAGACACATTTTGTTTCCCAGGAATTATACAAATAGCATAGGGGGCATTTTTTGGCCTTCTTTTGAGAATATAGTCTGAAAGGAAGCAGTATTCCATCCTCGCCAGCTACTACACGCACTACAGCTGCTGCAGCTACTACCCGTGCTACAGCTACCACACGTACTGATACTACACCTATTACACGTACTACACTTTAATTTAGCGAATTTAGCGATTTTTCAAAATATCGCTAAATTAAAATGTGCCAAAATTAAGTGTCGCTAAATTTAAATCGTCGCTAAATTAAAGTGACTACAATGGGAAATTCCGCCATCTGGTCCGTTTCACACGATCACGCTATTTTACGGTCGATTATGACGTGTATCGGATGTCTACTGAATACATTTCAGCTTCACAACTGAAATGGATTCTTCGTTCGCATTAAATCTCGCTTTCCCATGTGGACTAGGCGGTTTCCACGTTTATAAAGAGCTGTGGAATCCTAGACTAATGAAAAGCTTGACACAATTCACGAGGAAAATAATCCGCACGACCGGTACGCAGTTGCTGCAATAAGAGAAACTGTTAGTCGGCTTACACCAGTCTCCAGGAAGGAGATGTATCCTCAAGGGATGGGAGAAAGCGGGAGTCAAGGAAATTGCCAACAGCGACAAATGAACCACTACCACCTGTTGATCCATTTGAAGAAATCTACCTGTCTTGATCGGTGTTTTTAGGAAGTTAATGGCTAGGTACTCGTAAAAGGAGCATTGACTCTGTGTGACAATGCAAATTACTAAATATGAGTGAGGACAGCATGAAGCTGAAGATATGACATTATAGTTGCAGTTTTATTTGTTTTGTTAAGTTTTATAACGTTGTATGATTTATTTTATGATTTTTTTTAATGAACCCATTGACGTTTATGATTTTATCAAATAAATTTTCTATTTCGTAAGAAAAATTGTGTTTGCTCATCGTGGTAAAGTACATAGGCGTAAGGGCCCCTTGGGTTTTGGGGGCGGTGACTTTCTTGCCCGAAAAAAATTACGCAATGCCCGAAAGCGTGAGGTTTGAAATCGGGATGCAATCGCAAACGTACACCATTTTCGCATCTAATGAAACTGCTATCATTGGAAAAACAGTTTAATTGAGAGCTTGCATACTCATTTCTATCAAAAGTCTCAATGTAATCTAAAACGTATTAAAAGAAAAAGTTTTTCCTTCCATGGCGTTTTCCGAAAATGTCAATTACTTATAGGAATTTGTGAAGTATTTACCTTTTGCCTTGTTGACCTTGACAGCCGCTTGACTTTTAGTGACCTTCTAAGTTTTTCACTTTTTCTTGAAAAAGTATTAAGTCCCCGGACTCCTCAAAGAATCAAACGAACTTCAACGAAGAATTCTTAAACCTGACTTTCATGTAAACTCGTCAAAGCGTTTTCCCGCTCTCCGCGAAATTGGCGCGAAAATTAGGTGCGAACTGCAGCAGATGTCAGCGAAACGATACATTTTACATTTTACACGATGTTATTCAAATTACCAAATCAAGAAAGAAACCACTTTCGGGTATCTAATCATCTAAAAAGTAACTAACTAGAAACTTTATTTACGACTTTTGGAAATCACGGCAACAGCCATCAGTTATTTTATAATGTTCTCTCCAGAGTGTCGCTGCCCGAATCAAGAGCGTTTTGCCCGAAAAATTTCCCCCCCGTCTCGTACGCCTATGGTAAAGTACAATAATAATAATCAAGGTATTATTGTTTGTCTCACGATGTGGTCACTTGTGATATGAATCGCCAAGTAACTACATCATGACACAAACGATTAATAATTTTAATGTTCTATTGTCGTCGTAAAAGTTTTGAATACCTTAATTCGCCAGAAAGTTTCCGGTTTGCAAAATCGCAAAAATTAAGTGACTTATGTTCCAAAATTTACGAAAAATCGCTAAATTAATGTGTCGCTAAATCCGGATTTTTCAAAATCGCTAAATTAACGTGTCGTCAAAATTTCATGTAATAAGGTACTACACCTACTACAGCTAATACAGCAACTGTACACGTACTTCAGCTATTACATACGGAACTGCAGTTACTACATTTAAGCCATAGAGGACTTTTTCTGTGTTTACATAACTCGAGGGGGAGTTGGGAGAATTCTCGGGTTTGCATAACTGTCTCGAATTCTCCCGAGTGTTTAGATGAGTCCGATATAAACACAGAAAAAAGTCCTTTATTTCTTTTATAAAATATTTCTCAAAAATAATTCGACATATAAAGTAAAATGCTGGTTTTAACTTTTTGATTAAAGCAGATTTTCTTGATACACGCTCATATTTCCTACCAGCCAAGAGTGCGCGTACTATCCTAATACACGCTCATTTTTCCTTCCAGCCAATCAAGAAGCGCGTCTGACAACACATACCAATCACGATTTGCGTGATGTCACAACCGTGTTAACATACTCTTATCTAATTAACAAATAGATTCCATGTTGCCGTGCGTCTGTTCAGTAATACAGATGACGTCAAAATGTGGTAAGAACAAAAAAGTGGCACACGAGGCGATAGCCCAGTGTGTCACTGATGTTCTTACCACATTTTGACGTCTTCTGTGATCTATTACTGAACAGATCCACGGGCAACATGGAATCTATTTGTTTTATATAATAAAGAATTAAACTTTATTCGCATAAAAGCTGATGGTGACGTCAATCGTGCGTCTGTCCTCTAATAGATCATAGGCAAGAACCAATCAAAATCCGTGAATAACTTGGGTTATTATCTAAACACAGATATTGACCTATGAGAGTGCGTGTACTATTCAACACAGGGAAGAGCAATTGACCCAGCCCTGTGTCAGCATTGATTTAGAGGTGAGGAGTGAGAAGTCCATGCATCATGTATATGATTTACTTCATGAAAAAGAGTTTTTTTCATAAAGCCAAGGACGTTAAGAATGTCTCAAAAATCTTGTCTAGGATAGTAGGACGGAACTGAGCTGCAATTAAAAGATACAAATTAAGAAAAAGGTTATACGCTATACACGGGCAATACAAGCTTACCTCTCCAAAAAGGTAGAATATAACACAGTGAGGTACAAACCAGTTCTTCTTGATGTTGCGTCCGGCTCGTTTTATTTCAATATCAATGATGTTCTCATAATTCTCCTTTTCTTGACATTCATTCAACAACCGTTTCACCCTTCTATTGATTTTGTCTTTCTTTGGGCACTTTAATGATAATATGAAAGTGATGCATTTGTCAACGATTTCCAGAGAACATTTCAATCCAGTTTCATCCTGGCGGTCGCAATATTTTTTCAAGTACCCCTGCAGATCTGACAACATCTTTCTAATCGTGATGACATTAACACAAAGTCGGCCTCTGCTTTTCTGGATAGCCATCACGGTCAGCATTAGAGTGTAAAGGGAAATCCAAAGTTTTCTCTGATTGTATCCTTGCTTTCCAATGAATGCAACAGGAGACGTTATAGATAACCTTACACGCACTTCTTCCAAAACAATCAAGATGTCGACCATACTGACCATGTCATCATTTTTAAGATTGTATTCAGCGAACATCAGACGCGAAAATAGCCTTAGGGTCGCCTGGACTACTTTAGGACTGCTTCTACTGAAGCTTATTACAGCAAAAGCCTCGTAGGTTTTCAATCTGGAGCTGGAATCGTTCCACATTTTCTCAAGGTATGGTAGGATGCTTTTACATATAAATTCTTGTTCTTCCTGCCATAATGGTCCATTCTTGCGGTCAAAGTCAGCCATTGAATCTTTTACGTCTTTCAGAAACAGAGAAATTCGATCTCTGGAATTCCTAATGCCTAGCAAGCAAGAAATATATTCATATTTACCTTTCAAAACACCTAGCAAAACCGAACATTACATCAAGGCGTAATGTAACTGATGTTGACACTAGCGTACTGAAATGAAGCATTTAGTTCGGTATCCAATGCATGAAAATTAAACCCCTTCCGAGGAGCCAATTATTTCCGGGTCCTAAAGGAGCTTTTAATGCACAAGTCAGTTTCGCTGTTACTCCCATCATAGCGACAACTCTGCAGTAAACTACTTCTTCCTTTCCCAATCCCTGATATTCATCTGTCGCACTCTTTTTATTGTAAAGTTTAGTATTCTGTCTAGTTCCTACGTATAAATTTTCAGTTTTGCAGAAATATAGCTTTACCTCGCCGCTGAATTTTTCTGTTCTCACAATAACGTGGTGCATCTCCATCTTCGCTGTCACTTCTGTCTTGTTGCGATCGACTTTTCGCTAAAGATTTAAAAGATTTATATGTCTCAAGTATTTGAAGGTGCTCTGTTTTGTTGTGGGAATCTGCAGTTGCTTTATGATTGTAACATTGTCCTCCCCCTGAAAATGACACCTGCATTTATTAATGCCTGAGGCACTAAAAGAAACAGTACTCCAATATCGAAAGAGAATACTCTATTTTCGCCTTACTTATTTCTCCCATACGACCCTCATGGGCACAATAGCCTACAAGATGATTTTTGTTGATGGAGCAATTCCAAAGAACCTGGAGAAAATCCTGTGGAACAGAGTCTGGAACAAGCGCAAATTTGTGTGAGTTAAAATAAAAATTGACTTGACTTGACTCGACTTAACTCAGCCCACTTGTGCCAAAAACCAAGATATGAACGCTGTCCACTTTGCTAGGAGGTGATTGCTCTCAACCCGGTGCCAACCCTTCCTACTGGGAGCATCAAGGAAGCACCACTCTGCCCAACAAGACTTAAATTAGGTGAACAGAACGGTCTTTTCATATTGGTCATGTTGTATATCTTGATACTTGGCCACATATCACTGATTGAGAAAATTGCACGTGCAATTGGATGTAACCTAGAAACCGAACGATCTTGTTGCACTTTGTCAAAGATGATTTTGATTTTAAATTTCTTTTTTCTTGTTTGTATTTATTGGGATTGGTGACGTGTCAACAACCTGGCGAAGGGTGTGAGTAGGGGACCTCGTCTCCCATTGCTAGTACCTTCTTCCTTGGAAAAATAACTGCGTAGATAGCTAAAATATAATATATGAATAAATAAATCCTTCTTATCTCTAAACAACCTTCGTAACAAGAAATGTTAAAGCGAGCCTGGTTTGCTACAACACGCCATGCATTCATGAACTCCAGCAAAGTCTGTGTCCCAGCACTTTTAGATTGTCAGGATGTTCTTGCTCTGGGCCCGGTTGTTCGAAAGCCGATTAACTTAATCCAGGATTAGCGTAAACTTTGGTTTGCCTTTTTAACTTTTGGGTGAAAGCTTCTTTTGGTTATTTTTTGGTTTTCAAGCTTGACTTCGTCTAATGTAAAATTTTGCCAAATATCAGCCTTGTACAACATTTGGGAGTAGAGAAATAAACTCCTTGGTTAATTTTTAATCTGGGATTAGCGTTAATCGGCTTTCGAACAACCGGGTCCTGGAAATGACGGCAAATGTATATTTGATTGTGCCACTTTAAGATGACATCATAGCGTCTAATACATGCCCAAAACAAAGAAACAGTGGCCAAATCAACAAGTTTTGGCATTACTTTCTTTCCGGCTTTACCACTAGTCATGTGTGAAGAAAGAAGACTCCACTCTCAAACCAGGAGCACGGTTGGCACAGTGGTCAGAGCACTCGCCTCCCACCAATGTGGCCCGCGTTCGATTCCCAGACTCAGCGCCATATGTGGGTTGAGTTTGTTGGTTCTTCACTCTGCTCCGAGAGCTTTTTCTCGGGGTACTCCGGTTTTCCCCTCTTCTCAAAAACCAATATGATTTAATATGTATTAATTTGATTTTATTTCATTTGTGCACGACCCCACAAGCTATTCAGCTTTAAAGGCTATCGTGTGAAAATATTATTATTATTATTATTATTATTATTATTATTGTAAGATCATATTACAAAATTGGTTAAGCTCTCCAAACATATTTGTCAAGACAAAAGACCTAGATTGGTGCCTTGCATGTAATATTGGGCCTGGTGGAGACTGGAGATTTAAAAGTTTATTTTTATTTTCGCAAAGCTAGTTTAAATTCTCGTTTTCAAGCTGCGCATATTTAAATTTTATTACGTCACTATACAACTGGCCAATCAGGTGCCTCTCTAAAAATAGCTGCATAGCTGAACCACGCGCTAAAATTAGATTTTTAAAAAATATATCATTGGAAGCGACCCATGTATGGGGGATCCGCTCTCTTACCTTATCCTCTCTTGCACACAATTATATTTCACTTCCATTTTGATCGTGTATATCTGCATTATGGAGTTCGTAGGTTACTGGTTACCAGCCAGAGGGATCTTTTGTTTATTAAAATAAATGTTTAAAAGTCCGCGATAACAATGTAAAAAGGGACTAGGTGGATGAACATATCAAAAAGGGCGCTCCTTCGTTGAATGCAAAAATATATATCAGAAAGAAGTCGTTGCCTATGAAACAATTTTAAACAGAGATTTCATGCATGAACGCCTCCATACCTTGACTGATGTTAGCGCCAGTGCCGAGGTTAACCACACCACTTACACTGTTTATGTAAGTTGTGACGTTAGCTCCGTTTCCTGTTAATCTCTCATCGTCCCCTAGAAAAGCAAAAGCCTTAGGTTACTTTGGCTGGTTAAAGAGAACTATAGAGTAAGAATATATCAGCTCGATTCAACGCATGTGACATTGAACGCATGTGGCACTGAACCCCCTAAATTTCCGAATTACCGATATCCCTTTGATTGTGAAGTTACGTTCCCATGTTCCGCGCTTGGCCGTGTTCTGCTCAACGTAATCAGTACCGAAGAATTACTTGTGGGCATTTGGCGTGAAAACGTCATCATTACCCGTTTATCCCGTGCGCATCTAGTTCTGGCAAAATCGAGAATATGCCTGGTATGCAAACTATATATTACCTCGGGAGCAAATATGAGAGAAGCTGATTTCTGTGACGACTCCACTGAATGGATGAACAAATCTTGCAGATAGTAATTATTCTAGTGGGTAAATAGTGTTTAGAAATGTTATCAGTCACAGTACTAGTGTTATCGGTATTAGTCTCTGAATCGTTGTAGAAGTTTCCTAAGTCATTGCCTTATGGTGCCGATCGTCAAAGCTTTTCCCAAACACAGTGAAGTAGCCTGCGAACAGGCTCTCCGAGGAACTGGGGTTGGGACTCTAACGCCAACCTCAAAGAGAGATGAAGTTGTCTCTTGTGTGAACGAGGCCGTTGACGCCCCCTATGGTGTCATCCATTGCCTTGCCGAATATATCTTGGGCAGAAAATGTTCCATAGTTCAGTCTTGTGCATCGCATTCTTGAAGTTGTTCCATAGGAAGTGGACAGGTGTCTGCTGCATTCATCTGCTGATGGTAGCCTTCGTTCATATCGAGCACACAGCTGAAAACCGTGGCATCTTCCAGTTTGAACTTGATGTCTTCTACGGTCAAGGCTTCTGTTCCTGGACCCAAAATAGGGTGCTGGGTACTCTACTGACTGTGCAGAACCTTATGGTATCCATGTTGTGCGATTTAGGCGCAACCACAAGGTTGGTAGACCAGGTGGTGGGTTGGTCGTGGAACTAACTCGATTGTGGTCTTCTTTTGGAGACTTTTTTACTGTACTAGGTTGCAGGGGATTTTTCTGAGTTTGTGGGCTGTAGGAGTGACATTTTCGTCCATGCACAATTATCTTGGCCTTTATTTTCTCTTGTGCTTACCGGCAAACCAGTGTCGATACCCCTTTTTCTTCACATGTTAGATGGGTCACAAATTGGTCCTGGCTTGCACAGTGGCTGAATTTTACAGGTGGGTTGCACTCTACCTTGGTCGTTTTGGTAAACTGAAGTAATCCTAGCTCAGCGCTAGTGTTCAGGCTTAAGAGTGGTCGGGATTTAATGGTTCCCTTGACAACCAGGTTACCCTTGGCCAAAGGCAGCTTTTGAAATTGCCAATAAAAAGTGGAGTATGCAAGTTATCAGGGGCTCGTTTCTCAAAGGTCCCGAAACTTTTCGGGCGTATTTCAGTCGGGTGAAATACATTCCTCGGTATCTTCAAAAGGGAAACGTTTCAAGGCACGAAACTTTGCAAATATTGTACAAAAAAGGTAGTTTCTAAAGAAACTGTGGTGCTGCGTCGGTGGGGAAGTAGTACACAAAAATTTGGCTTTATCAACGGAGTTAATAAAACCAATTTTTTTTGCAAGTATTGTGTTACTTTTGTCTTTAAAATATGTTTCAAGACCAGCTTTCCAGAATAAGCGGATCGTAGTTTGGAAACTTTCTTTTCAGGACTTTAAAGAAATGAACCACGGTACAGCGGTATTACAGCGGGCGCTATTTTTTTATGTGTGCAGAGATGTGGACATGCATTCTATAATCTAGAGCCCTCCATCTCCTTTCTCCCCCCCGAAATCGCCTCGTTTAAAACCCCCTTGACGCGAGAACTGTTCGTTTTGTGGCGAAGATTTTCCGAAAATCGCTTTCCTAGCTGCGAGAGGTGTTTTTTCTTACAAACATATTAGGAGGGTGCCACAGACATTCAAGACCAATCACAGTTTGTGTCGACCAAAGTGGATTTCTTAGCAAGACATATTTTAGCCCCGATTGGATGTTACATACTTTTGAGCGCTTAAAGTGCCCATAACCTAATTTTTCTCACTAAGTCATCTGAATCTACACATATCTCATAGACGTTTCGCGAAAAAAAATTGCGATTTTCCCAAAACGCGATTTAAAAATGAAATTAGAAAACGTTCAAATTTGCCGCCATTTTGG